TGGAGAAATTTTTATTGCAAACTGGAATTTTTTCTCGTCTGTTACAACTTTACTTTCATAAAACTCATAGCTTTGCAGTTGTGGGTTGAAAAAGTATTTACATATCGATTCAATTATTCCTATACTTACTTGCTTATGCTTATTTTAAAGACTCACTTAATTAAAAACCTTATTTGGGGATTTTGAAGTTGGCAGTTCCCCCAAGTTTTTCAGCTCTAGCCTTACTCATAGGTTGGTAAACTTCAGAGTATTTAGCTAAACAGAAAGCAGTGCTTTTTCCATTTGCTACTGCACTAAATGTAGAGCTTTAAGACACCTATTGCTGTTTTGGAGTTCTAGTCTACTATTCCCAATTCTGTATTTCCTCTGAAATGTTTTCTGGAGTTCTGGGCAGCACTGAGAATGATATATATTGTTTTGGGGATCAAAGGGTAACTACTTCAGAATTAAAAGCTCATCTTGTATAGAATGAGTCTCCTCTGAGTCTTGCAGACTTCAAAAGGCTACATGGAAGTTGCATGACTTCTGAAAAATGGAGATATTTGGCTTCTACTTGGCATCTCGTATGCAGAATTGTCATCTCCTTCAGACTTCCTTGACAAATAAATTGGTTTTCATCTCTCTGTGTTTGGGGTAATAAAATGGCAGCATGTTGAGGTTCATTTGGTAAAGGGAAGAAAAGAGAGGAGCTGATGGTGTTTGGAGAGCTAAGGGTTAGAATATTTTTAAGAGTTTTCTTTAATATGGAATAATTTTGGGGGCTTCCAAGTTTTAAAAGCTGTGTAAAAGTTTAAACTTTAGTATTCTAAGAATGTTCAGCTCTTTTTCTCTTGTCGATAAATAAATGCACCCATGCCAGCTGAGGGGGTGGTCCTCCTTCTTTGTCTTTTTTGGGGATTTTTTTGTTAAGTGGACTGAGGAGCTCTGCAAACTCTCAGATTGCAGGGGGTTTTGTAAACTGATCACTTGCCCCTCAGGCACCTTGTGCTAACTAATGATTCGTTTAGACAGTATCAATCAGCAGTGTTTGAAAACTTGTTGGTGTTTGTTTTCCACCCTAAGCATCTCTCCGTGCACAGCCCTCTCCCCAGGTGGGCTGTCACCACTGGGCTGGCAGCATCCAGAGCCCTCCCCTCACCTTCCCACTCCAGGCAGCCGGTGCCTTCTCCACTCCGGTCTCTCCCTGGGACAGGAAAGGGGAAACAGGCTGCTCACAGAAGACATCCCAATGGGCGAGCTGCTCCATGCCCTGGATCCAAACCTTCACCTCACTCTTTAAGCTGTGATGGAAAGGTGGGGCAGCAGCAAGATGAATCAAGCACAAAACACTGGAAAGTTGCTTACATGGGCTCTTCTTCCCAGTCTCACCACTGGTACCCCTGTGGCACCATCCTGTACCACCAGAGGAGGGGAGCCGAGGGCACAAGTATAGGAGACAGCGACTGGAAAGGCCACTGCCAAGGTGACGTTCTGTCCACGAGATGATTAGGTGTAGTGAGTTTTAGCTATTCTGGTGCCAGATTTCCTGGTCTCTGTGTACTGTGTCATGGTTGTAACTACATGTCATGATTTTAAGAGATTTAACTCCATGTACTCAGGATTTTCTTGATTTTTGGTTTGGCGCAACTGACTATTAAATCAACCTCGCTTGGTTAAAGGAAGCTTTGCTTTCAGCCTGCTGTTACTCCATTTTGCTTTATCTGTCTTCTTGGTTTATAATTCAGACGTTTTCTTTTTCTACACAGATGTGTCCTACAGGTTTAGTTACCATGGGCAATTTGCAGCTCAGTTTATTTTAAACTTCTGCTGAGATATACTAAATGCATGAGGTAAATCTCAGGGCACTGCACATCTGGCTTACCCAGGCAATGAAACACACTGAGTGGAAACTTCAGGAAATTAAAATATAAACTTTCCTGCCCCTTTTCCTGCAAGAGCAGGAGAGGGGATGGGTCTGCCTGCTTGCATATGCCATTATGGTATGGTAACACTTTTGGTACTCAGAGATACATTATATTTCCCTCCTGCTTGAGCCTTTCCAGGGCCATAGCAACATCACGGGTAAATGTAATGCCTTGGGATTTGTATGTTTGTGACCTGGGAGGTCAGAACCTTCCTGTAAGATATATGCTGGCATCTGAGAAACCTGATCATCTGGAAGTCACCTGTTTGAACTTTTGTCAGCAAACTGTCTCCTCTTCTGTTCTTCTTTCCCTTGGGGCTGGAAAGATTGCTTTTAAAGAAGATCCCAAGTTTTAGATTAGCATGCCCTAAAACCAAAACTTCTGAAAACCCCTTCTGCAAACAGTGTTTTGTTCTTGTGTCTTCAAAATGAGAGAAGCAGCCAGTGAGCCTCATGCTGTTCCTCTGGGATTACTCAAATGCTGTTGTGCTTTTAAATTTAACAAGTATGATTTCATAGCATTTTTACATACTCTTGTGGAATTGCATACATTCATCCCTGGCTGGGCATTTTGTGAATAAGACAAATGCAGAGCATTTATCAGTGCCTGTTACAGTGAGCTTTTTTGATCATATCTTGTTTCAGATTTCATATGAAAAGGCTGGGGAGGATACTACAAAATTGGGGGATAATTCACACTCTAAGACCATGTGCAAAACAAAGCCACAAGGAAAAAAAAATTGAAAAAAAAATTACATCTACCACCCTTTAAAGTTTTGAATTAAAAATATGTGTTGTGCCAGGTATAGCTGGCCCCTCTGCACAGGACCAACAGTAGAGCAGGAAGCATTACCTACAGGCAGCAGAAATCTGAAATAAAAATTTAGACGACAAATATACAGACAAAGAGAATTTATTCAGGATCACAAAAGTCCACTAGATCCTGGAGTCCTGACCTCGTCTGTAATTCAGACTGCAAGACTGAATCCAGATATTGTTACAGAAAGCAAAAACCCAGGGTATTCACATAATTAATGCAGATGTTGGCAAGCTTTTATAAGGGCCACTAATTCATTCGTATGACTTCCTCTCTCCCTCAAGGGTTTGTATACTTGACCTCTTATTACCACATGGTCTTTACCAAAGAATTAAAGCCAGATGTCTTGTAGCTAGGTCTCCCTTTGTTAAGTATCCCTTATAAATAGTTTTTTTCTATGCAACAGCAAGATCCTACATGAAAACTTTTTAAAATTCTTAAATAATTAAGGCTGAAAGGTTTCTAACCTAGGAGTTGTTGTATCCTAGAGGAACAATAAAAGTTTTATAGTCACTGTGCTGAGAAATACTGTTTACTCTAGCTTTTTATTATCCTAGGTCTGCAAATGTTTCTAATTGCTATTTAGGTTGGAGGTAAAATCATTCTAAAAAAAACCTTTTTCTTTAACATAAATCTAAATGTCATGTAATGCATTTGGGATATAGGTGGGAAGTTTTGTGTGTTGCTTTACTGGAATTAGCTTAATTGTGTTGACAAACAGAGGCAAATGAAAGGAAACACAAATAACTTTGGGTATTCTAAGGAAATCTTTATCAGATACTATTTACTGTTTTCACTTAAGTCCAATTACTAATTCTGTCTCCCAATTCTGTACATTTCTGGTTTCAACATAAAAATTAGGTTAGCTGTAGCAGTTCCTGCAGAATGACTGGAGCTGTCCAAAACATGGGGGTTTGCTTGCCTGTTTTAATGGGAAGAAATTCTCGTCTTTTAGTGTTGTTGATCTGTTCCTTGGTTGGGCTTATTAGCTGGTTTCCAGCTAAAACTGCTCCTCTTTTTGTAAAAATTCAAGTTCAGTCAGTAGAGTTTCACAGCCATAAAAGCAGAACGTCAGAGACAGATCTCCTGGGTCTCTTTAGAGAGTTCTTTGACATCAGTTTCTTGTTTGTTTTGGGGTTTTCTTAATTATTATTTTTACATTCTCATTGTTAAGCCATGCTAAACAAGGAACCAGTATATTATTCAGAGGGCTTTCTTTTTCTAATACTTGCCTTTTGGGAATTACACCTTCAGTAATTGATTATAACTGAGGAAGGAAGCTTATTAAAGCATTTTCTTGTTAGCCAACAGTTTTATGCAAAACTGCTATGTTCTGGTAGAGTATGGGGCTTGTTTGTTGCACCCACAGCTGTGCTTAGCTGAGTACTCTGCAAGGAAAATTAATCATATATTCCCTGACATAGCCATAACAATACTTAATGCAAGAACTAAGGTTTGATGATTTTAACACTAGTTAAATATTCTTTTCTGATTTCTTGCCTCACTCCTATTTCAAATTGGAATAAGCCAGTTCAGATGAGTTATACTGAAAAGCATGGTGTATTTCAAACCCTGTTTAGAAACATGGCTGATGGAAAAACGAGAATGCTTACTGAAGTACAGTGGCATGCTTCTTTTATTGCTTATAAATGCAGTTCCTGCTTTATGGACAGACACAGCCCCTGGCCCTGGCAATTCACAGTCTTAGATTATCTTGAGGATCTTAATTTAGGGATGTTCCTCCCATTTTTAAGACAGGACAAGAACGAATGCCCCTGATGGAGACCTGAATGACTCAAAACCTGCTGGGAAATGTAATCTACTTTTCATCCTCTTTGAGGAGCTCCTCTTTTAACACTGCTACAGACAACAATAGTTATATGCACTGGTAACATAAATAAGGTGTTCTGTAACAGAGTTAACTTTTCTTAATTATAAATTGCATTCCCTTCTATCTAAGTGTATTTTTCAGCAGGTCTGCTTCACCAGAGGCTTGTTTTCTCTGCAATTTACAACTACATCAGAAATCATGCTAGCTCCCAGAGCAGATGGAAGCATTTCTGGTTGTTTCTAAACTGGTTGCTGTTACTAGATTCCTCAGAGCAATTGTTTGTGAGTTGTGGAATGCCATTTAGTCTGAAAAATTAAATTTGTTCTGAAGTGCGTTCCATTGCTGTCCCCCTCCCTGCTCTCTGTGTGTGTCTTGTCCACGGATGCAATCATACGTTTTCAGTTCTGATGCCATGGTTTTTTTTTCTCTTTTTTTCCTCTCTTCTTCAGTCCACAGCCATGAGCGAACCACAGTGCTACTACAATGAAACCATTGCCTTCTTTTATAACCGAAGTGGAAAATATCTAGCCACTGAATGGAACACTGTCAGCAAGCTTGTAATGGGACTGGGGATTACAGTCTGCATCTTCATAATGCTGGCCAACCTCTTGGTTATGGTGGCTATTTATGTCAACCGCCGATTCCACTTTCCTATTTATTACTTAATGGCCAACTTAGCCGCTGCGGACTTTTTTGCAGGGCTGGCCTACTTTTACTTAATGTTCAACACAGGACCCAACACTAGAAGATTGACTGTAAGCACCTGGCTTCTCCGTCAGGGTCTCATTGACACTAGCCTGACGGCCTCTGTAGCCAATTTGTTGGCCATTGCTATTGAGCGGCACATTACAGTTTTCCGAATGCAGCTACATACTCGGATGAGCAACCGGCGAGTGGTGGTCGTAATTGTTGTTATCTGGACTATGGCCATCGTCATGGGCGCCATACCAAGTGTCGGATGGAACTGTATTTGTGATATCACTCACTGCTCCAACATGGCACCGCTCTATAGTGACTCCTACCTGGTCTTCTGGGCTATTTTCAACCTGGTCACTTTTGTGGTCATGGTGGTCCTATATGCTCATATCTTTGGGTATGTCCGCCAAAGGACTATGAGAATGTCCAGGCACAGTTCTGGACCCCGCAGGAATCGGGACACCATGATGAGCCTCCTGAAGACTGTGGTCATTGTGCTTGGTAAGTGCTTACTTTGCCTCCTCTGTTCTCCCTGCTCTGTTGTTTGTCGGGTGATTTCAGTCATGAATGTCCAGCACCTAGGAGGTCAGCAGCATTTCAAAGACACTAGGGGGCAATAAGAACCCCCAGCATTCATTACTGTGTTGGGAGTGTCAAGTTTATTTATGGAAGTGGGTATCAGAGACTTGGTCACTCAGCCCTGTAACATGAAACTGATGGAGATCTAGGGCCTCTAGATGTAAGGTGGTGCTTTTTTGCAGCAATGCAAGTTTAAAACCTGTTGTAGCAGCCTATCCTGTGCAGTGTTCGCCCTTTTGACTTTGCAGATCCCAAATGGTTGCAACCTTAAAATAGTACAGGGAAGACTCAATCAAACTGAAGTACCTCTTGTCTCCTTTGTAACACCCAAAAGGTGTTGTGTGTATTCAAGCAGTACTCCCATGTCTGGAGAACAGTGAGAAGCTACAGGCTATTGATGAAAAGATTTTGCATGTTAAGCAGGACTGCAGGTACAGTCAGGTCTATAATATTTGGCACATCTGAGTATTTGCCAATTTGCTAATACAGAAAAGTAGCATGTGAGGCACTGGTGTGCTTCAGCACACTGCTCGGGAGATGCCTAAGCACAGGGAAACATGAGACAAATATCATGACAAATTTTGGAGTCAGAAGCTTCCTGTCTTTTTGTGCATGGTTGTATTTGTTTTTTGTCTGGGGCTCCCAGTTTCTTTATGCAAAAGCACAACCTGGATACTGGGTACCATTCCCTGGTGATGTTCTTTGCAGTTTGTTCAGCTCTTTGTTGCTGCACATAGCAGCAACCTGCAGGCAGGCAGGGATGGTGCTCATTGTCTCCTTGTCCCAGTCTATGTTCCCACCCATGAGGCCCTCCAGCATAGTAAACAGGTCTCTTGGTATCCTACCACTCTGTTGCAGCATGAAGTTGCCCTAGTAGTCCGTAAATGCAACTGTGCACAGTCTACAAAGCCCAAATCTTATCTCCAGTTCTTGCTTTGACTTCCTGATTTCTGTGGCTTAACTCCATGACTTGTGTTACTTTCTACACAAACATGGCAGAATAGTTGCAGAGATTTAATGTGAGTCACTGTGTCAACTCGTATGTTAGTTTAAAAATGTACATGTTGCTCTCTGACCTAGCGCCTAGCTTTGTAACCAGAACATGAACTGTGTGGTTGACTAACCTGCCCAGCCATTGAAAGTCATATTCCTATGTATCCTGCTCTTCTCTTGAGTGAAAGAATCTCAGTGAGTCTCATGAGGTAGGCTGTAGTCGTGGTTAAAACCTCTCCTAGCTGCCTGGTTGTTTGGAAATCTGTCTCTCCCCACCTCTGTGATCCTCCTGGCAGAAAGCAAGATGACATTAAGGACAAAAATTAAATTCAAGTTTTGCACTCTTTTTTTTTTTT